TATAAACTGACAAAGTTTCGCATTTCAAGTCTGTGGGATAGCAGGTCTCAGAAAGTCGGCTTTAGATTTTAAAACTGCGTATAGTTATCCATACCACGACGAATATTTGCGGGATTGAAAATATCCAAAAGTACTTAGTTAAGGAATAAGAACATTGTATACTTTGTATAACAGACATAAAACGTTTGAAGGCTTCTATGTCCCAAACCGGAAATGATGTAAACTTGCAGCTGGCGCCGTAATTCTAGTCATTGGTAATCTCTTTGCCTTTGTCAGTGTGTGGTTTTTCCTGTGCCTTCTATTAACTGCAATGTTTTATGCCAGACGTCTGTCAGGCAGACGCCTACATTTCTGTTAATTTGAAGTAAAACATGACTTTGGGTCCAGATCTCCGAAAGGAAAATAGAGTTCAAAATTGAACTTCGGTTGTTTGCGTATGTTTCCCTGTAGATGACTTGATATTCTAGGGGTTGGCGTCGATGCCAAGTTTTCTGAATTTTTCCTTACTTTTCCGCGATTTATTGATCAAGAGTCTTTCTTGATTATAGATCCCGTATTCGTATCTGACCATAGGCAGACTATTTGTAAAGACACGAACAGAGAATTTCTTTAACCCTTTGAAGCCGAAGATCGTCTGAATATTATTTATGAATTCATTCCGTACCGCGAAGAAAACACTACACCTCACCATTACGAAAATCAGCTGGTTAACCCTTTGAAGCCGAAGCTCGTCTTCATAATATTTACGAATCCAGACCGTACCGCGAAGAAAACACTTCACTTAACCATTAGAAGTCGAATCAGGCGGTACCACATAAGATTTAACAAAAGAACATCCCGGTCAAAGCCTTAATGAGGCGAATATCCGACAGTACGTGTCGCTGTGAGCAACTTTACGTCTTAATTGAGAAAGTAAAATTAAGAACTAACTAGTTGTGAATCACAAGAAGATAAATTGGACGCGACACAGGGAAATTATTGAAGCAAAAACAGACTCGGAAATGACTAAATTAGTCCAAAAACCTGTTCGGAATTTAGGTCACTTTCAGCGTTTCAACACCTCAATTTACTACCCTCATTTGTAACTTTTCTTCCCGCGAATAAACAAGAAATGCACGTTGGTAAAAAGACTTCTCGGTTGTTACGTTACTGAAAGGTTTATCAAGCGTAGTTCGCAGATCCATAGTCGTAAAGAGAGAGTCAAAAGAAACATAAGAAAGATACCAGAAAACTAATGAGATGTAAAGTGAGACTGTCAGAAGAAAGACTTTCTGCCCTTTCATCCGTCTTACCCCACGATCGGTTTCCCACCGATGCATCCAGGTACAGTCCGCCGACGAGGAGAAAATCCCTGCTAGGAATTCGATATACGCGCATGCGCAAAAGATTTCGCGGTGAGTGACGACCCGTCCTAAAAACATTCGTTCCACAACCACTGAACGAACAACAGACGACAGGCTTTCATGTGTTCT